CGGTTTCCATAAGCTCTGGAGAGTTTCTAAAACATATCTGGTGAGTAAATGAACATATGCTTACTTGTAAAAGGCTTCCTGACTGAAACAAATGATTGTTTGTTATTCGTGTACGTTAATTTGGTTATTTTAAACACCGCGGCCCTTTTAAACTGGTTCATTCGTGGCCGTCCATATACCGTTAACGTTAGTCCATAACTTAGACTCGTGTGATAACGTACGCTTGAATTATATTAAGTGTTGACAACCATTAAAGTCGGAATGTTAACATTAATGTCTTTAAATGACCGCGTTTGCACTTTTATCAGACATTTAACGTTACAGAAGTCTCCCGGAAGTTGCGGGACTAACGTTAACGTTATCCCGCAAATGCACAGAGACTCCCAGATGCCCAAGTAGATGCCCGCAAATGAATGATCATCTCCCGGAAATCGCGCGTCTCCCGCCCGGTCATTAAACACTTTGCACGCCCCTCTCCACCGCATCCCTCCCAGCTCTTCAGGTACGTCGCGCTCAAGTCACCCCCACCGCTCTTCAGGTACGTCGCGCGCAGCTCATCCCATTGCTCTTCAGGTACTTATCTCTCCCGCTACCTCCCGCAAATCAACTCTGTATCCCCCGAAAATGACTTTTCCCAACTCGGGATGTCTGACGTTAGTAAGTTAGGCTATTTCTGTTGTCAGGAACATCTTAGTCAAGCTTTTTCTCCCACATGATATTGTGCTTAAAACTATAGGCTAAACTTAGCATGTACTGTACACAACATTTCCGTTTTATTAGTGCGTTGTAAACAGCCACCTGTCTGTAAAATTAATCAACTGATTCATATTTGAGCAGCCTAATGATGACACAGGTTTGATTTGTAGATTTATTATCAATAATCAACATCTGAATCAAAAGATATGTGAAAATGTGTGAGGCATACTTTGTGATGTTCTTCTCTCTTTTTTATCTGAAGGTTATGCATATGTGTTAGATACTAATGTGTTGTTGTTTTTTAACAGCCACAGTTCTCTGTACAATAACACAAGACCCTGAGCCGGTGGCTGATTAGAGACGGATGGTGTATTTCCAGAGTTGGTGAAATGACCAAGCACACCTTCTTGGTCATATGTGGTGATAATAATGAAGGTATGTTTGATAAAGTTCTGTATTTGTTTCACAATAAGCTGAGAGGGTATTAGAGCATTAAAGAATAACGACTGACATGAAGGTGATAAGTTTTGTATTGTGGGTGAACTTTTACTTAAATAATGTTTTGCTGTTGTCTTTGCACTTTTTCTCTTCTGCTTATCCTAATATTTTAGATTATATTTGGACCTGAAACATCTGCTAGACTCCAGTAAAGGTGGTGTCAATACTGGACCTGAAAGGGCCTAACAAGTTGAATCTGGTAAAGAAACACGCACACACACACACACACACACACACACACACACACACACACGCACGCACACGCTTACAGAAAACTGTAAGTTTATGAATATTTTTTACACTGTGGCCAATATTTTGGGGAAGTCAGCATCACTAAATGATATAAAAGATTTTAAGCTCCTCTAAATTTTGCTCCAAGTGTTGTGTTAAATTCAGGAATCTGGACAGACAGCTGCCTGTTTTTCCAGTTCTAGTCATAGTGGTTAACCTAATTGTTTTTGGAGATCCAACAGTGATGTATGTGTTTTTTCTACTTTTCCATATCCTGTCACCTCAACCAGCTGGGAGAGTCAAGTTGTGGATCATCATGTAGATTTTCAAAAGGTGAGTTTAGATTTCTTGAATGTTTTATTTACTTTAAATGTTCTTTTAAATATATCATAGAATTTGATTGCAATTTTATTTTCAAACATTTTTCTTAGTCATGCTGGAGTCTTGAAGAGTTCTTAGATGAGCATCACCCTATATCCGTGCATCAGGAACCACCAGACGAGTGATCAGCAGCTGCTACATCATCATGGATAAAAAGGTCATCCTGTGGCTGGGAAGCACTTCATTCACAGGACATGCTTGATGAGATTTCCTAGCTCCAGTTTGTTTTCAAACAAGTTTACAGCATTTATACCTTCATTTAAACTGCTGTGTTTGATGTGGAGGACCAAGGAAACACCAGAAGTGAAAGATTTGCACGCCAAGTTGTTTAAAATGTAATTTCAGAAGAAAACTATGCGTTCAGAAGAAAACTATGAGTGACGATATATTGAACTTTCAAATTGCTCTGATGAAACATAAAGTTTGGACATCATATTTTGTTGATACTGTCTGTACTAATAAAACATTTAAAGCATATTTGACATTGTTGCATTTTAAAAATTGAATGAATTGTTGAAGTTGTGAATGTTTTCAAATAAAATGTCTTTATTTTGTAATTTACAGTCTATTTGACCTTTTTACCATATTTACACTCAAGAGAGTTGAATAAAATAATATATTACACCAGGTGGTGTTAAATATAGTTACATTTTTTAACTCTGCCCAGAGTTAAAATTAACCCTTACTTCGGTGTCAATGTGCCAACCCTTTTGAAAGTGTTGATTTAAGTCTGTTTTGAGTGGACCCCATGAGACACTTTCAAAGTGTTGAAATTAACACCCATAGAGTTGTTTTGGGTCCCCACATTTTGCTGTGTACTCCACATCTTAATTCTATTTCTCTTTAGTTCAATTATCACCTTAATCTGATTAAATTATTCAAAAATTGCTGTTTACATGGTAGACTCTTAATCAAAGTATTGTCTTAATTGCACTAAAATCTAATTATTGGTGTCCATGTAAACATACTCACTGTAAATTCTGGAGAAAACTCGCTCTCAAGATCAAGTTGTGAATTACTTTAGAAGACCGGTGCGATCAGACGATCATTATCCAGAAGATGATATTGTGTAGACGAACTATAATTGAGGTTGGTGTCGTAATCTCGTTCCTTTTGAGTGCGCATGCGCATTAGCTCAAGCAATCTGAAAAAATGCTTATTTTGTTTTATTTGGACGTTTAGAAACAAAACTTATGAGACAGTGTTTCCCCATTCAGACAGAATGGCCGAGCATACAGCCTGAGATGCATTACTGCCGAGTGAAATGACTTGTCTTAAAGGGACTTTGGTTTAATTACAGTTTGAACTAAACTGTGCAGAGCTGCGGCCCTACAGGTATTGAGTTTGACACCCCTGTTCTAATCCTTTAAATTTGAATTTCTTTTTTCTGTTGAAAACAAAACAAGATTTTCTTAAAAATGGGCTCAAAGTTCTTCATTTTATGTATTTTAGAAAGTGACAAGACCTAAATGACTCCTTTAATCCATTCATTAATTTTCCTTTGACGTAGTCCCTGACTTATTAGGGATCACCACAGCAGAATGAACCACCAAATACACTTATGCTATATGTTATATATATAACGTACGCGTATGTTTTATGCAGCGGATGCTCAAAAACTGATTTTTGCTGCTTGTTCAAGGTACTTATTTATGAGCTGAAACAACACAATTATTGAAGTTAGTTGCATTAACTTAATTGATTTGTGTTGGGACAACTTGAATGAGTTGTGTGAACCCTGCATTTTTACAGTATAAATATTGTGTGTGTTCATTATCATGATAAAGTGTATGCTGTTGAATATTGGCATATACCACTGTCTGCTTTTTTTACTGTAGTATATTACAAAGTAGCCTACAGTAGTCAAAAATAAGTGGATCAAAACCATTTATTAGAGTATTCCTAAAATTGTTGAACAACACCCACTCTTGTCTTATAGGACCAGTACTAACCCTACTGTTTATGAACTCACTTTAGAAAATGCTTTAGTGTGCTGCAGTAAGATGTAGTAAAACAAACTAGGCTGAATGGTACTAGCTACACTGTTAACCCTTACTGTAGATGATGCAGTAAATAACTTTAAAAAGGCCAGTGTTTTGCTGTAATAAAGGGAAACAGTATTTTACTGTAAAACGAGCAGGATTTAAGGAATGAGCAAAGACTAAATTACAGTAATTTACTTAATGTAGCCATTACAGGTAGTAGCTGTGATAATAATTGGTAAATTACTGTTCAACCATTACAGTCCCATCTACGCTGATGCTTTATGCTGTTATATAGGGCATTTATCTTAATGCAGAAAACAATGATTTAGACATTGACACACACATACCAAGGATGTCTGTCTTTTTCCAAAATCGTGAAAAAAAAAAAAAATCAGAAAATGTTGGCCCTTTAAGGGAGCCATGTGTATGTTGTTTACTTCTGAGTGCTCCATTCTCTGTTTAACAGTTCAGATGCAGAGTCTGACGTTTTAAAGAGTCTACAACGAATAAGTAATGTGTTCAAATATTTTTGAGGGTTTCTAAAGTAAGTATGTGTAAGTTATGTTGTTGTTATCTTGAACCTCCACTGTCAGGTCCCAGGTTGTGAATTCGTTGCTAAGTTTTTTTTCAGAGCTGTGTTTCCAACTGTGAATTCATAAGGACAATAGAAACGTTTGTTTTCTTGAACTTTTCTTAAAGTAAATATTAATAAAGATTGGATCCTTTATCTCTATGGCCGACTTTATTTTTTGTTTTTATAATTATTGAGAATTGTGTGTGCCTGTTTTTTGACAAACATGTTTCTATGTGTGTTCTTTTGATAGGCATTTTTAAAAATGATTTGAAACTTATAAAAACTGTGTTGCCAGCATTTTACTGTAAAAAGGCCTGGTAAGGTCTAACAGTGTAGGCTATACTATGCTATTTTTTATGTGGGAATCAATGTAGGATGTGGGCAGAGCTATCCTTATTAAACGTCATACACTCAAAAACGGATTTTTGCAGCTTGTTCAAGCTACTTATTTAAAATGAGCTGAAACAACAGTTCTTGAAATGTGTTACATTAACTTAATCGATTTGTGTTGACATAACATGAATGAATTGTGTGGAACCCTGCATTTAGCCTATTGACAGAAAAAACACGAACGCTGAAAGTTGTGCTGAATGACGTCAGGCTTTATGAGGGTTAAATCCAGCACCGCGTCTCCACTCTGGCTGGTTAAGCGCCTCCTTTCTTCCAAAGGCATTTCCTGCCGTCCGCGCTCCCAGAATACACAGCTGTACGCCAGCGGTTATGGAATGCTATGGACCGCTATTTTATCTCTCCATCATCTTCCACCTCTTAAGGATGCAGGTGTGCAAGGTTAACTTCCAACTTCCAAGCGTTTCGCGTCTGGAAAACAGCGTTTCGATCGGCCTTTGCACATTTTAAGACGGCATTACTTTTGTTTTGGGACAAACGCGAGCTTCGTTTACAGTTCAATTACATTGAATACATGAGGGACGGTTACTAAGGCGGTCGGAATAGAACAAGACAACCAGACCTTTTCCAGTGATCTGAGATGAATTCGTTTGGATACGTCTAGATCTCCTGCCACGTTTCTGTCTTCGGGGGCTGAAGTTGCGACTGCAACAGAGGTGAGAGAAATCTGCGATGAAATATGATTATATGACTGTTTTCAAGGAGGATGCGATGGACTGTTGGGCTGTTTACTTACAAGAATCATTCGTTAGGCTGTTTGTATTTGGATGTGAATGTGATTATTGAATTTCCTATCCGGGCTCTATTTATCTATCCATCCTTCTATAACCAGCACGGATTCTTTAAACGGCACAGAGCCTCGTTATTCCGTTATGTTTGTCATCTCTGCAGTTAATGTGACGCATGGATGTGTTATTTCATAAAAAGTCGTCTGTTGTCCACATCCTCCATTTTTAAAAGACATTATAGACTAAAATGCTTTTGGTAAAACGCCTAGCAGCTGTCAGACATTAAAAGTAGCCTACTAATAAAACTGCCAATAATGCATTGTTGTGTTAGGCTACATTAAATATTCATGTTTCAATATTAGCCTGTAATTGTTTAACAGTTTTAAATGTTATAATACAATTATCTATTTTGAAAAAAATATTAATAATATTATTAATTTTTAAAATGTGTTTAGGCTTATGTTGAGCACAAATATATTATTTTATGTTTGGGTAATAGGCTATGTGATGCATATACATTTTATATAGGTTTATAAAAAATAGGTCAATTATAAATGAATAAAAATAATACTACAATTTTATTGTATTAATATTTATTTAAATAATTGTTAATTAAGCTACACAGAAAATTAAAAGCAGTCTTTAGTATATTGTTATATAGTCACTGCAGAAAGGTGACTGATTTATTGACCAATCAAAAATTTTGAAACCAGTTCATTATATTATTATTATTATTATTATTATTATTATTATTATTGACAACAACAACAATAATAATCAAAGCCTAGTATTTAAAATAATCAAATATCAATTTGTTATTATATATTGTTATTAATATTAAAGAAACACTATTATAGGTATAATTATTATATTAGTTCTAGGCTATTCTACATCAAATGTTAAAAATAAACAACTTTTTTTTTATTATTATTATTTTTTAGGTTTTGGTCGAAAGCAAAATACAAAAAATACAAAACTACAGGGTTCATATGGTCATGGAAATCCTAGAAAAGTCAGGAAATTTTGACATGGCATTTTGCAGTCCTGTAAAATGTTTGCTAAATCAAATACCCCTCCCCCCCCAAAAAAAAAAAAAAAACAAAATTGAAAAAAGTAATGGAAATTAGTTTAACAAATATCAGTTTACTTCAATATAGGTCACTTATCTTTACTTGTATTCTGTCCTTGGCCGAAACATGGTCTCACATTATAAGTGCTGTGTAATCATAATCTAAATCAATTTTACCAACATATAAAAATAATATTAAACTAAATGGAAGTTTTATGTATTCTGTTTCTTGTTGTTTACCACGTATACATGGACATTACTTAAAACATCAGGTCATGAAAGTTTACTTTAAAGTGCTGGAAAAGTACTTTAAAAGTACTAAAAGAATTTTAGTAGTAAATATGTGTATGAATCCTGAAACTACTACCGCCACCAATAATCAGTGTTGGGAAAAAGTAATATTTTACAATCTAAAGTCACGTTGTTTAGTTAATGTTTTAGTTAAAGGATAGTATCGTGAAAGAATGCAATTTTTGAGTGTTTTTACATTTATTTTAAGATTATGATAGGCTTAAATAAGTAATATATTATTTTTTAAACCAACACTGCTTATAATAAAAATAATATTAAAGTTTCAGGTGCAGACGACAACATTTTCAATATAATTTCTATTCACACAGATCTACAAAAAAGACGTATTATGTGTGCCAGGCTGGTAGCTGGTGACACATGTGCATACATGCATTCTATTACATGCAAACACAATCCTGTTATTAGCCCCTTTCACACAGTGATACCGGAAAATATCCGGAAAATTTACGGAACGACTTTACCGGTATGTTCAAAAAAGCACTGTTCACACAGGCGAGGACGTTACGGAAATTTTCCGGAAAAGAGCATTCACACATCCATTCCAAAATACCGGTAAATTCTGACATCATTCACCACAAATGAGCTTTAAACGGCTACGCTTGTATTTGTAAACATTTGACTAAATTACAAACTCTTTTGATGATCAATATTGTAAACAACTTTCACAGGATCATATTCGCATGTCGAGATTTTCATAATATGTGCGTGTGCTGCCGCTCACAGGCTGTTTCATGGGCACACGCAAAGCTTGAAGGTAAACAAACAACGGCTTATCATAAGCATCTTATCGATGATTATTTGCACAGTTGGCATTAAGGAGAACATATAAACGTGATCTGACTAACTTCTAGCAGCTAAATGCGTCTGGAAAAATATTCAAAGGCTTTTATTCTCACAAACCGCGCGGAGGTAAATGCGTCTGACTGTTGTGATTGGCTAAAGCAGAAGTCTTACGTCAGCACGTTCTAGACGTGCACGCGCTTATTCCGGAAATATTCCTTCTGCGTTCACACAGCGCAGCAGTCCGGCAAATTGCCGGTAATGTTACAACTTCTCTTTCCGGAAAATAGCCAGAACGAATTTACCGGTATTTTCAAAAAGGACCTGTTCACACATACAACCTTTCCGGAAAATTGCCGGTAATTTTCCGGAAAGGTCTGTATGTGTGAAAGGGGCTATTGTTTCTGTTTTCAAATACTCACGCATGGCTGTAGATTAAACACAATATGCAATTTGCATGACATCACTGCTTTAACAAAGACAGTAAATGTATTCTCATTGCTTGCACTTTGATACCAATTTTCTAAACTTTGCACTTTCAGATCCCAGCAATGAACAGCTAAGGACATTTTCTTTTCAGTTTAAAAATTAATGTGTAAACATACCATATTTGGCTGTTGACATCAGCCAAAGTCAATCCATTCCCACTCAGCAAGGGGGTGTGAACAGTTATTCTGGCCTGACATAATTTTGCATGTTTGATTGTTTCTCTTTTGTTAGGCTAAAAGAAATACAGAGATATACAGTGCTGTATTTTAACCCTGCTCATTAAAATGGTCGACCACAAGTTGACATTCAGTACCAGGCTGCATGAACAGAAGTCTCCAGTGACATGTTGGGAAGAGCAAACTTAGAATCCAGTATTCCCTAACAACCCTGTGTTTGTTCTTTAATTTATTCGTACCCTCCTGTTCCAACTGTGTCGGTTTTCGCGCTGATAGTTCCTTGTGAGAACTCCAGACAGCTGAATTCTTTTTTTAAGGGGTCGCTGGCTGGTCAGCTTGCACTTCCTGTATGTGCAGCTGAGCTATATGATGGTGTCTGTTACCTAATGTTGTTGTTAGATTTAGCGTAATATGAAAAGTCAATCAATTGTACCATTTTAACCCTTTGACTGCCCCTTTACCAAGCGATTGATCATGTTTTGACCGTTTAAATAATGTCATTTAAAGAAAGACTGTTTTAAATAATTGTTTACACACACAACATTGTTGGTTTACAAGAAAATCAAACAAACATCATCCCGTTGCACTTCTTGATTTTGGTTTTATTGTAAAAACAACAACAACAACAAAATGAAATGTCAAATGAGAATTTGAGATATTTTATTGCATACTTAAAAAAAAAAAAGGTGATTTAGTGTTCAAAAATGTTTTATTTTGAATATTTGTTTTGAAATAAATTGCGCTTACACTTCATATTTTCAGATTTTTCATAGTATATGCATTAGGGTTGTCTCAATATCATTAATTAATCTTATGATACTATACCAGCTTAAGTATCTCGATACCAAGTAGTATTGCGATACTGTAATTTATAACTCAACTTATAAAGAAAATTGTCAGAAATACTATATTTTATATTATAATAAGCCTACTTTAATGTAATTCATTATCCCCTTAAAAATCCCATAAAAATTGTATTCATACTTTTTGTTTATTTTGTAGATAACTGACCAAAAAAACCCCTGTGAATAAACTCGACACATAGGAACATAAAAACCTTTCTGCCAGCCAGTGTTTTGGAAGTGTTATTGCAGAGCAACATAAACAGGAAGCAGAAGAATAAATGCAAGGCAATGCGCAAAGCATGGGCCACGGCAATCACTCAACGCTAAAGTATAAGGGGCTGAGCACACCGAAAATGCTTTTACATTCCAAAAATGTGAGGTGCACCATACTGCCTTTTTTGTTGACAAGAAAAATGAAGTGCTGTGCACTTTATGTCGCTAGACAAAGACTAAATCAGCCGCGTAATGTGTGCGAGTGTTGCCGTTGATATTGTTTTAATTGTAATATTTAATAATATTGTGATATTCAAGATTTGTAAAGTCATCCAGCTCTGGATAAATTGAACACTAGTCTCTATTGCATCTTTTAAAGGCTTCTTAGTCGTCTTGACAATATGAACACTGCTGTCACCTTAATTGAATCCCCGCCTTTGCTTTCATTTGATTGGAAAATGAAAAAGACGTAACTGACATAACTCTTTTTAAGCTCAGAGTTGACTGCCACTTTCAACTGCGAGCATGCAACGGCAAAAACACAAGGCGCAGCAGGGGTGAGGCCTGCAGGGTGCATAAGCAGCACACAAACTGCTCGCTGCCTTTAGTAAACTTCACAATATGCGCCTCTCAACGCAAAAAGCACATTCGGTGTGATCGGCCTCTAAATCAGCCATTAGACGTAGATTTTTGGTTGTTTGTAAAGTGACCAAAATCCAACATCTGTCCAGCGTTGTACACTGACGTCGATGTGACATTGGGTTGCGACGTCAACCTCATTTTTATTTCTACCCAAAACGGTGTTGGGGTACAACGTCAATCTGACATCATGGTGACATCCTGTGCCTGCTAGGACAACTCTATAGCTCTTCACAACTGGATAATTTGTGTGAATTCACAAAATTAACATAATGTATTGCTGACATTGAATGACTAAAAGATTTCTATTACAAAATTCTAAAAAAAATAAAATAAAAAAAAAGGACAGATAAAGCATATTTTACTTGTTGAATATAATGTTTCCCTTAAAAAAAGATTACATTT